CGAGATTTGGTCTTGAATATTTCAAAATAGCAAGAACCCAAGGGGTTCAACTGACCCTTCCCCGAACCTCTTTCCATGGCTGCGTGTGGATCCGTCATAACTAAATATTGTCCAGGATCTTTTTGAATTAAAGGAGTCACATGTTTAGAAATCTTTGTTTTCATCCTTTCCTGACCCAAACGATTGAAAGCCTGTACTCTTTTTTCGTTTTTTATCGCTGATACATAAAGTTAAATAGATAGTTACGTCGCAATCTGTTATTAACTTACGTGTTAGGCATCGTTGGCCTTTGTAACCATGGTGACATTTGCAGTCGTTCTCAGTTTTGCGATTGTTCTGAGCACAACGAATCTACAGAAGAAAATGTTTGTGTATTTATTCTATTCTTTATCGGTTGCAAAAAAGTTTATACTTGCGAAAAGCTGTGCACTATGAACTGACTAAGTAGAATAAGTATTTACCGGAGTAACGAATAAGAACTTATGTGTATATGATATATATATATATATACAACGACATGCATTTACAAAACACAATAACGATTACATACAGGCTAACAGGGATGCTCATAAACGAAGCTATTATAGATACTTTCGGTTGTATGAAACACTTGTTTCACCATCACAGGTACTCTTACTTTAAATTTAAAAATTCATTCACCCCGCAATTGTAACGGCTAGTTAACTTGACCTTTGTGTTATGCATTGTCAATCTAGACAGTGACGTGACAAGCTGTTCGAATGGTCCTATGATGTGTAGACTGTTCACAGTCCTCTATTTTTCTGTAAGATCATCGAGATCGAGAGCTTTGCGTTACCGGCTGCCATCTTGCATGAGTGTCAAAACTACTTAGGGGGCGGGGGCGGTTTGGGAGGAAGCGAGAAAAATAATTAAAAAATCATTTTTCTCGCCCCCACCCCCCTCGAGCTATAATCCACGACACCCGTCCCCTAGGTACATTTGAAAATCAAGATAGCCGTGACGGTAAGACGCGGTTTATCTAAACGATCCCACGAAAAAATAGGGGATTGGGGATGATGTGGGCATAAGCTAAGGACCAGGAAGATGGTGAGGTTACTTAAGTAAACCAGTTTATGTATCGTTGAGATCGCAACGTTTGATTGTCATTACAAATCGGAAATTGAGTAATGAAACACATAAAAGGTTCTTAAGCCTACCGGAACTGAACCATAGTAGTCAAATCCCAGCTTCTTTTCCAAACTTCGCGGTCTTGAAATTCGCGAATGGTTATTCAGCTCGCATCGTTGATTGCCCATGCCTCCACTGGTTTCAAAGTTGTATGATTGACATGTGTCATTTGCCATACATTTGACAGCGCACTCTGTATTATCACCTACCTGACTTGTGTCAAAAGTGTGACCAGTCAAGGCAAAATCTACCAAAATAAAGTCGGAGAATTAAAAGCCCATGTTATAGACGTCCTTCGCCGTAAAATTCATTGTAGCAACATATTCTTATGTCCAGAGAATTCCAGCCTGCGAATGGCTGAGTGGATTTCTCAGTGAGAGTTACCCATTGAAATGGTCACCTTCAACACACTGACTTTCAAACCATTGATGACTCGGGCTTTCTTTGGAATGGCCAGGTCTAAATCCATGAACCTTCTCCTTAATTTGGCTACAAACCTATAATAGTACTCTAGAACAGCATGAACATGCGTAGTTGACTTAAGGCAGGCCCATAAATTCAAATTGTTTTCAGAATTTTTCTGAATAAAAGTCGAGTATGAAATACAACATCGGGGCAAGTTTTTATGTGCACATACTAACACATTTTAGCAGAACTGAAAGAACAAAGACTATGTTGACATGTTAGAAACGCCCAAATATACGTTATGACAGCTTCTTGAAATGTAGAAACTACGCTGAAACAACGACAGCATACACCTGTGAACTGATCATCGATTGACAGTCCCCAAGCGTCGATTTGGGGGACAGACGACCACTTCAATATACAGTAACAAAAGGATTTGCGAGGCGGACTAGTCAGGCATGAATGGGCCAAGAAAGCGGCATAATAATAGAGAAAACGGACGATTTTAGCGCAGCAGAGTGACGAAAATCGTCATTTCGTTTGTTAAAAAGATGACTGCTTTAACATTATAGAGCGGATTCTTTAAGTTAAAGGATTAATCTATCATTTCAGCTAAATTTTAAGGAAAATAAATGATTAGGTGAAGACTTTTAACATTGAAATTCAGGCTTTTTACAGTATTTTCAGTATGGAAAACGACCTTTGTCCAAATTTGACATCCAATTTCTTGAAAAATAATCACAAATCTTAAGGGGGAGTCTGGTTAAAAGCATTTTTTCGCCTATTTCTGCCCCTTTTCTTAAATATCTAGCCAAGATTTCATTCAATCGAAAAATGACTCGATTAGTTTGCAGTCCTTGGTTCAATAATTTTCCCAGAAATATGATTTTTGGATGATTTTTCGAATGTATTTAATGCAGAAAAATGGTGTGGGGGGGGGGGGGGG